TCTCAGAATTGAAATCTTTATACTCAAATTAGTCTACACCGAAATGTTCATGATGTTTGGAGATTCAGCGCGCGAGTTGTGGCGTTTTGAAGTTTTGTTTTTGCTTTTGTCTATAATATATATACTGTAAATTTCCGCTGCAGTGAAAAAATTATGCATTATAATAAATGTCCAAACATCATGAAATTTTCGGTATAGACTAATTTGTGCATGGAGATTTCAAATTATGGGCTCCGTTTCTGCCAAATATGAATCGATAACGCGATCGATAACGCGAACTCGGCTCGAGTTACGAAGTTGGCCGCGAACTAGCTGCGAACATGATACAATACTAGCCGTCTAAGTTTAGTAAATTCATGAATCGCCATTACACCATTTATTTTTCGATTCGCTTCTCGACAACGGTTTGTGAATGAGTAATGTCTAATGAGTATTGTCAACGACAATGAGAAATGGATTTTAATGGAACAATGAAGTCTGCCTACTTAGAAAATAATATCAAAGGCAAAGCACTGCCACAGTTAGAGGTTTGAAAAATTCTTATTCTCTTTAGAACGGCTGGTAATACTTCGCAATATTATGATATACTTGTCATAAAGGCTTCCTTATCACATATAATGGCATGATTTGAATATTAGTTTTGAATAGGGTTTTTGATATTTTTATGCCGCCTGAATGAATTACTGACATTGGCATTGTCTATACAAAACAACATTATATTCATGATCCCGAAAGATTCAAATCTGTAACAATATCTGCTATGGGGCGATGAAGTTAATATACATTGATAGCCAATTTTACAAAATAAGACAGGCGAACGAAATACTAGAAAAATATAAGGCATTCTGATCATGGATTCTGAGTGGCATAGGGCGCGCGGGGGATCAAGGGAAGGCAGCCAAATTGCCTGCATGAATTGCCCGCATGCCTTACATTCACGTGTAGACCGCGTGTTAGACCAGCGCGTGTTTTTTTTCGCATCGCGTGTTTTCTGCACTAAACGCTTTGATATAACTGTATGCACATTACTCGCCTCGCGTGTTTGTGCACTGACCGCTTTGACACTGTGGACCAAATTAGGAGTTTTCGGGTATCAGACCATAGCCATAGGACTATCACTCAGCCTCAGGGCCGTAGCGAGGGGGGGTATTGGGGGGGTGGTTAACCCCCCCAACTTTTGACATATTCGGAAAATGGGATGGCCATTCGGAAAATTACGGCAATAATAGTATATGGTTTTTGTACGAAAATAATGAGATTCAGGCAATTTTTAGCTAATATCTCACTTTTGGTATGTCCGGAAAAATTTTTTGACCCTTAAAATGGTACACTGACCGAAATTTTTTTGGCGACGGGGGGGGGGGAGGTCGTCACAAATTTTCGAATGTTCGGAAATTTTCTTCATCATTCGGAAATTTTTGGCCTACACCCCCCCCAACTATAAATGCTAGCTACGGCACTGCTCAGCCTCTAAGCACTCAGCCCTATAGCTCGAAAGCTCGTTTTGCTTGTATTTCTCGGGTAGTTGAATACTTGAATTCCTCTCAATACCGCAATTTTCTTGTAGTTATTTTATATATGTTATCACTACCTGCGCGCGCTGACACAACACAGCTCGTTCGATTTTAATGTCTTTTCCTGGCCGCGTATCTTCCATATAACCACAGATATAACGCCGGTTGACCTCAGCAACACAAACTAGATTCATGTCATTATTCAAAATTATTCCTAATCATCCCTAATTATTTTTACTGTGTGATCCCCAGAAATGATCCCACAGACAGCGGGGGCGTAATGTAACAGGTTTCTCCCCAGACGTCCGACCCGATACGAACCAATCAAAAACGGGTATCTGTGATCCTACTTGAATATCTAATCCACCGAGTTTACTATAAAAGGGACGCGTTTCAACATCTCAACATTGCGATTTAGTTCTGAACAGAGAAGAAAACATTTCAGTTAACTCTCAAGGAAACAAATTCGAAAAGAAAATGCCTGTCAAACCTGGTGTTGCGTCAAAAGGTGGCAAGAAGGCCGGAAAGAAAGCCGGAGTTGGTGGCGACAAGAAGCGACGAAGCAAACGTAAAGAAAGCTATGCTATCTACATCTACAAAGTTCTGAAGCAAGTCCACCCCGATACTGGTATCTCCAGCAAGGCTATGGGCATCATGAACTCGTTCGTGAACGATATCTTCGAACGAATTGCCGGTGAAGCTTCTCGTTTGGCTCACTACAACAAGAAATCGACCATCTCGTCTCGGGAAATCCAGACCGCTGTTCGCCTACTCTTGCCCGGAGAATTGGCCAAGCACGCTGTGAGCGAAGGAACAAAAGCCGTGACCAAGTACACAAGCAGCAAGTGAAAAGGTTTCTTAACCTTCATATAAAAAACCGGCTCTTTTAAGAGCCAACAAATGTATAAAAGAAACGAAACGAATTCTCGATAACTTGTCCACTCTAGTCGCAAATATGCCAGAACCTAATATTTTATTTGTTGATATTTTATCTGTTGATACTTCGAAGTGCGCGAAACTTGAAAGGAATAATTCGCGTCTTCGGTCATACAAATATACAATATAGAAAGAGAGAAGTTGTAAACGTTGAGTATAGATTAACAGCGAGGAGTAAAACATATTTTAAAATGATCCGCCTTGGTAGTTTTGGACGCGCTATTAAATCACGAGGCATATAATTTATGCATCTATTTCAAAACATAAATATCTGACCGGATAGAATTACAAAAACCTTCACTTTCAAAAGCAGTACTCAAAACACAATTTGGGGTAGGTGATAAATAAATACCTTTTTACTTTCTGTAACAATATTTTATAAAGGTTTTGAAAATGAGATGCTATACACTAGTGTTAGGAGTTTCGCGCCAAAACAAAACTGATAATAGTAACGTACCTGTTTAGCAATTCCAACAACCGCTGAGCCAGGCCACAGTACACGGGCAAAATTCATGATATACCAATAGTGTTCTTCTAAAACGGATAGAAAATTTGGTATCACATAAATTGATTAGGAGCCCTTGGTTATTTATCCATCTAACATGATCTGGTTAAATTAACCAAGCAATCCATATGGTCGTAACTGTCGCGACCAAATGGAAACATGAAGAAAAGTCTTGTCACGGGCAGCAGTTCAAGACAGTGACATCAGTATCGTCGAGATAGAACTCCATATGCTATCTCGAAGAACAGGCGCGACAGTTACGATATGGAAACCAGGCTTTAAATAGGTATATTTCTAGGTGAAGAAAGCTTCGAATTGACAGGGTTGCAACTACCTGAAGAATACAAGGAGAACTTCTTGTATTTTGCATCGATCTCGAGCTTTCTTATATTGGCACTGTCTACCCTTGACGCAAGACAGTTCAAAATTATTTCTAGGTCAACGAGGAATTTTAACCAGGGGCCAGTTGTTCAAAGGTGGGTTAGCGCTAACCCTGGTTTAAAATTTAACTTGCTGTTTTCATTTTGTGTGTTTTCTGCACGTCTGTTTATTTCAAAACTTCAGAGAAGTGAATTCCAATCGATCGAAACAAGATCTCTGAAGAGATGTTTCCAAATTTATAGACAAGCTGTCAGGAAGTTTGCTTTGAATTTTAGGTTAACCTATAGGGTTTAGCCTACCACCTATTTTTTTTTGCAAAAAGGCTGCATGTTTACCTGAAAGACTTCGTTAACTTCCAACACATTCAATCACCTCATCGATTCCAACATGGACACCGACAGACTCATAACCATGACAAACACAGTAATGAAAATCTTCAAGGGAAATTTTATATGGGAAAAACTATATGCTCTCCACATGTAATTCATATATAAAAATTAAAAAGCAATTCAACTTTTCACTTGGCAGATTGGAAAGAAGAGAGAATTGGAAAGAATCAACTGTACAAAAACCAGTAGAACTTTGATTTTGAACTATTTTACCCAGCATTTGATTAACTCGAAAACCACTATTTTATCCTTGCTACTTTAGTTTAATTTAACAAATTTCAGGCAAACCTTACTGTCCCAAATTAAGACATACTAATTATATCTATTTCTTTATAGTGCTGCATGTATATATATTAAAATTACTAAACTTTGAGACACAGAGTGTAATGTTTTTCAGTACTGTATTATGGATACTGATTGCTAAGTCAGTCTGAGTTTGTTCGCCTCTTCAGGCTCAGACTTGCCATTCGGTGCTTTAATTAATTCAAAATTTTATACACTTGTTTTACACGACATATGTCGGGTACAATATAGGGTTGCCTCTTGCGATTTTAAAATGATATAATACACTATGATTAATTTAATCTATTTATAAACGGTTAAATTATTTCACTTAGTTAGAAATTAGGATTGTATATACGATTTAATAAGAGTACACACATTATCTCACCACTTGTCAACAAGATGTGTTCGCAACAGGCTTGTAGCAAGCTTGTCAACAAGTTGTAACAATGCTGTTATTTCATCAAGTTGCTACAAGGTTGTCACTCACAACTTGTTGACAAATTGTTGGATTGCAAGACGATAACAAGTTGTTGGAACAACTTGTAACAAGTCTGCTGAGCTTAACAACCTTGTAGCAAGTTGTCAACAAGCTGGGAACAAGCAGTGCGAACATATCCTGTTGACAAATTGTTGGGACAGCATTGCTACAACTCCGTTGTAGATTTGCTACAACTTGTGCCGTTTTACGTGTGTAGTTTAATGTTAAGAATTCACTGCATGTATTTAAATCGTGGTTGTTAACATTGCAAATGATCAAACTTATTGCTTATGGATCCAGTTCCTTCGGGGGTACGGTGGGGGAGGCGATTACCCCGCGCCCCTTTCCTGGCCATCGTAGGCTTCACCACTGATTATTATTCTAACTACTTTATAAAAATTTAAGTTCATTGTTTGTTTACATTCCCACGAATACAATTGTTTTGTTTATGTGAAAAACTGTATATTGACAGATTTAGAAAAACTTGGGCAATTGGGAAGCTCGGATCTACATACATCAGTGCAAATATATTTTATATACTTTTTTTCGGACACCTCGCTTATACGGATACCTAATGCCCTAAACGGGGCATATTTTTCCTCTGTTCTGTCAATGAAAGTCCAATTGTAATAATAAACAAGGAGAGACTTGCCGAATAAAAAAACAGGTAGTTTTCACAAAAACAAAACAATTATAAAAATTTAGTTTCTCGTGTATGTCATATCGTCGTCCATATTATCCGAATCTTCCGACAACTCGTTTTCTTCCTCCTCGTCGTAAACTATCGACCTGTGGTCGTGACGGCCCGACATGCCACGAACATTGCGCGATGATGACGTCGTCATTCGACTTGACATTTGAACCTGAGGATTAGATATAAACTATTTTAAATTTTTAAATTTAATTTTTCTCTTTAAGCTATTTTAGTTCTTTCACCGATTTACAATCTAGATTTAATTTCACATTCAAAATTTAAACTTATGGTTTAGTTCTCAATATACACTTTAAGTAGTTTCATGGTTTGATATAAACTATTTTAAATTGCAGACTTAATATTCATCCAGTCCTAGGACTTGATCAAACTTCATTCAGTCCTAGGACTTGATCAACACTTTATCCAGTCCTAGGACTAAAACTTCACCCAGTCCTAGGACTTGAACAAAACTTCATCCAGTCCTAGGACTTGAACAAAACTTCACCCAGTCCTAGGACTTGAACAAAACTTCACCCAGTCCTAGGACTTGAACAAAACTTCATCCAGTCCTAGGACTTGAACAAAACTTCACCCAGTCCTAGGACTTGAACAAAACTTCACCCAGTCCTAGGACTTGAACAAAACTTCATCCAGTCCTAGGACTTGAACAAAACTTCACCCAGTCCTAGGACTTGAACAAAACTTCACCCAGTCCTAGGACTTGAACAAAACTTCATCCAGTCCTAGGACTTGAACAAAACTTCACCCAGTCCTAGGACTTGAACAAAACTTCACCCAGTCCTAGGACTTGAACAAAACTTCATCCAGTCCTAGGACTTGAACAAAACTTCACCCAGTCCTAGGACTTGAACAAAACTTCACCCAGTCCTAGGACTTGAACAAAACTTCATCCAGTCCTAGGACTTGAACAAAACTTCACCCAGTCCTAGGACTTGAACAAAACTTCACCCAGTCCTAGGACTTGAACAAAACTTCATCCAGTCCTAGGACTTGAACAAAACTTCACCCAGTCCTAGGACTTGAACAAAACTTCACCCAGTCCTAGGACTTGAACAAAACTTCATCCAGTCCTAGGACTTGAACAAAACTTCACCCAGTCCTAGGACTTGAACAAAACTTCACCCAGTCCTAGGACTTGAACAAAACTTCATCCAGTCCTAGGACTTGAACAAAACTTCACCCAGTCCTAGGACTTGAACAAAACTTCACCCAGTCCTAGGACTTGAACAAAACTTCATCCAGTCCTAGGACTTGAACAAAACTTCACCCAGTCCTAGGACTTGAACAAAACTTC